AATTGAGAGGCTGTTGTGAGCATTAAAACAGTAACACAGGGCTTAGCGCAGTGACTGGCACAAGTAGATCAATTTCTCCTTGGCAGGGTCCTTAGGCAAGTTTTATAATAAGATTTTCCCCATACAGTTCTTGAACATTTTTGTTAGATCTATGCCTATATCACTTGCAATTTTGTTTGCTATTTTAAATGTTTTTTTTTTTGTTTGTTTGTTGCTATGTTGCTGGTATACACAAATACAGTTGGAGTTTTATACAGAAAATTTTTGTTAATCCCTCAATCTTACTAATAGTATTTGTGATACTTTTTATGAAGTTTTATGTAATCATGTCCTCTGTGCATTATGACAACTTTGCTTCAGGCTTCCTAACCCTTATGGTTTTTTTTTTTTCTTTTTTTAATTTATCTTTTCTGACTGCACTTTAGGACCTTCAGCACAGTGCTGAAGAGAAGCTAGTGACATTGGCATACTTATTCTGATTTTGAATAAAATGTCTTCAGTGTTTTATAATTAAGAATGATGTTTGGTAGATATCGTTCATCAGGTTAAACATTCGTAGTTTGCTGAAAAATTTTTTAAATCATGCCTGGGTATAGGATCTTATCAAATGCATTTTCCATATTAATTGGAATGACTATATGATTTCATCTCCTCTGATAATGTTGTAAATGACAATTATAGCTTTTTAAGTTAAAGCATTTTTTTTTACTCCTGAGATAAAGCCAAGATCCTATTTGCTATGTTTTGTTTGGGATTTTTCTATGTCCATGAGTGATACTGACCTTTAATTTTACTTTTCATAGTAGATTTAATTTCATTTCTCAAAGCAATTGACTATTTATATTATTTTCATATGATAAGTTGACAGGGATTCTTTTTTTTTCCTTGAAAAATCTGTATGAGATTTGAATGATTTATCAAAAGTTTGAAAAAATTTAGTAAATACACACACATACACACACCCCTCATATCTTTATCCATTCATCTATTAATGGACACTTGAACTGCTGCTTCCAGATGAGTAAAGTTTACCAGTCAAATCTGAAACATTTCAGCTACTATTTACTCAGATGGTTTTTCTGCACCCTCCTCCCAACTTTCCTGCCATTCTACCACTCCCATTACATGTATGTCAGTGCACTTAATGGTGTCCCACATCTCTATGAGGTTCTGTTTCATTTTCTTCATTCTTAAAAAAAAATATTTTTAAATGTTTATTTTTTGAGAGAAAGAGACAGAGTGCGAGTGGGTGAGGGGCAGAGAGAGAGGGAGACACAGAATGGGAAGCAGGTTCCAGGCTCTGAGCTGTCAGCACAGAGCCAGATGTGGGGCTCAAACTCACGAACTGCGAGATTATGACCTGGGCTGAAGTCGGATGCTTAACCGACTGAGCCACCCAGGCACCCCTCATTTTCTTCATTCTTTTATTTCCCCTCTAAGGATATTTGCTATTTGGGAGATTTCTATAATCGTACAGAAATGGTTTATTTTGGTGTGTCCTGTTTCTTCATAAAGATTGAGTATTTATTACTTTAAAATGTATTTATTTTGAGAAAGTGAGAGCAGAGGGGAAGAGTAGAGGGAGGGAGAGACAGAATCGAGTGGGGCTCAAACTCATGAACTGTGAGATCATGGCCTGAGCAGAGATCAAGAGCCAGACACTTAACCAACTGAGCCAAGATTGAGTTATTTAAAAGTCTTCACAAGTACTCTGAATCTCTAAAATACTCTGTAGTCATAAATTTGAGATTGAGTTTTAACATCCTATTGAAATTACCATACTCTTTTTGGGCAGAATTTTAAATTTGATGAAAGTCTTAAAAATATGTAATGTTTCAGGGCGCCTGGGTGGGTCACTCGGTTGAGTGTCTGACTTCAGCTCAGGTCATGATCTCTCTGTTCCTGAGTTCGAACCCCGTGTCGGGCTCTGTGCTGACAGCTCAAAGCCTGGAGCCTGTTTTGGATTCTGTGTCTCCCTCTCTCTGTCTCTCTCTGCCCTCCCCCTGCTCACGCTGTCTCTCTCTCTGAAAAATAAATAAACGTTAACAAAAAATTTTAAATAAAAAACATGTAATGTTTCACAAATTTGCATGTCATCTTTGTGCAGAGGTTATAGTAGTTTCTGCATCATTCCAATTTTAGTGTAAGTGCTGCCAAAGTGAGCACTCGACATTTTTCCCCCTCTCTCCTTCACAATATGCAAGCTCAATTACTCTGGATTCATATTCACAACCTTTCTTCTGTCAGCTCAAATCTACTGCTGAGTCTATCTAGTGAAGTTTTCATTTTGGTTATTACACTTTCTAACTTTAGAATTCCCATGTGCTTCTTTTTTTATAGGTTGTATATTTTTCTTCTGTTTATTTTGAGAGAGAGAGAGCACGTGAGTCCAATGGTGGAGAGGCAGAGAAAATGAGGGGAGGGGGGAAGAGAGAGAGAGAGACAATCCAAAGCAGGCTCTGCGCTGACAGGAGTGAGTGCAATGTGGGGCTCGAACTCATGAATTGCGAGATCATGACCGGAGCTGAAGTCAGACACTTAAACAACTGAGCCATCCAAGTGTTCCTAGAGTTGTATCTTTTTACTGATTTTTTCCATTTGATTAGACACTGCCAACATTCCACCCTTTAACTCCTGAGGTATGGTTTCCTTGAATTCTCTAAACATATTTATAATGGCTGCTTTGAAATTTTTGTCTGCTGGGGTGCCTGGGTGGCTCAGTCGGTTAAGCAACTGACTTCGGCTCAGGTCATGATCTCACGGTTCATGGGTTTGAGCCCCGAGTTGGGCTCTGTGCTGACAGCTCAGAGCCTGGAGCCTGCTTCAGATTCTATGTCTCCCTCTCTCTCCCCCTCCTCCACTTGTGCTCTCTCTCTCTCTCTCTCTCTCAAAAATAAATAAAATGTAAAAAAAATAAAATAAAAAAAAAGAAATTTTTGTCTGCTAAGTCCAACATGTGGGCCCCTTCAGCTGCCTGCACTTTTTTCCTCCTGTGTATAGGTCACACTTCCTTGTTTCTTCAAAAATCTTGTAATTTTTTGTTGACAACTGAGCATTTTTGACAGTGTATTGTGGCAACTCTAGATATGGATAACTCGCCTACCCCAGGGGGTTGGTACTGTTGTTAGTTAATCAGTTGTTTAGTGACTTGTCTGAACTTTTTCCTGCAGGCTGCAGTATGTGATGTTCCTGCTCCCATTTTTTTTGGGGGGGGGTTTGGTTTTAATCTTTTCACATTGTTACCTAGGGGTTGCCCATAGGTCAGCATAAGCTACTTTGAAAGGTTGTGCTTAAGCCCGCTTGGAAGTTAGATTTTTACTCTTTGCCGTTGGGTGTATACACCTTGGAGGTTGCTATCATGGTTCAAGGAGGTAGGATTTTGTGCTCCTGCCTCTCCATCGGCCAGGGCTTGTATTACTCCTTCGGAGTCACTCCTGGGAGGGCATGGCCTTGGGCTGCCAAACTGCCAGGGATGCGTCGCCTTTATTTTAAAGTCTAGCTTTCTAGGAGCTGCTCCTGGGTCAGAGCAGCCTACTGTTCACCTAGTATGGTTGCAGGGGTGCTGAGGCCTGCAGTGCCAGTGAGGCTCGCACTCCAAATCTTCCCTGTGGGTTGCTCTGATTGCTCCTGAGTGGGGGCAGCTGAGCACACCCTTCTTGAGTCTGAAAGTTTTACTGTGATACTAGGAGGGTTCTTCTTGGCTATGGCTTTTCCCTGATGCTCTCTGTTAAAACTGCTGATTGCTTGGTCATCTCTTTATTGATACAGTATCACAGGGCTATAGGCAGTCTTGGAATTGCTCTCCACCAAGATCCCCATTACTTTCAACAACACCCTCGAGCAGAAGATTGTACTCTGTTTCAAAAAAGGTCAATTCTCTCAGGCAGTGCCATAGGGCTCTTCTTCCTTATAATCTCTTGTCCTCCGGGCAGAACCTCTGTGCCACTTCACAGACCCAGGGGTGAGGATGGAGTCCCCTTCTCCTGGAGTTACACTTCGGATCCAGAGTGCGTGTTGGGGTGGGGGTGGGGACACTGATCTGGGGCTGCTTCTCTGCTCTGCTGCCTCTGTCCTATGGGTGAGCTGGGATAGGACAACTGGGCCAGTATTCTTGGCCCACCACACTTGGGGTAGAGCTGCAACATGGGCTAGGAGATCTCCCACAGTGAAACTGTACCCTAGACTCTGAGCTGAGGGGAGCGGGGGCCTCTTCTTGACTGAAGTCCTGGAGCAGAACCCCAGAACAGTCTTCTTAAGACAACTTGGGCTGGTGGGGGCATGGATCATGTCTCAAGGGCCACGGACTCCTTGTTCTTTCTGACACTTAGTAGACTTTCTTGGTTCTATTGATGGAATGTTTCTCCATTTGCTGTATGCCTTTAGGAAAACTTCCTGAGGCTTTAAATGATTTTTAAAGTTTTCTCCAGCTAAAATATTTGTTAGGGACAGAATTCACTGTGTCCTCACTCTGCTATTCTGAAGGCAGTCTTCTATTTTTTTCTTCAATTTACATCCAGGAGAAATTATGATCCCATGGATATTTTGCATGTGCTATATAGGAAAGCATAATGGCTGTTTAGCCATTATTTATAAGTTTTTAGAGTATTTGGAAAGTTTCCATCCTAAATTTGCAGACTTGAGTGTGAGTTGTTCTTTTTTCTTAAAAGACATCTTGACTTGTTTGAACACAATTGCTATGTCAGACAAAAGAAATGCAGTGAGGCACAGAGGTCCACAGAGCCATGATATAAATGTCACAAGATTCTTAATAACAATGGCACTTGTGGGTTTTTCACTGTATACCAAAACAGCGCTCTGGCTTTTGGGTGGCATCTAGTAAATCTATGATCCACTTATTTATGTGCTAAATACAGCAGGACTGCTGCTGGCTCAGGCTGCCTGCAAGGCGCTAGGAATCTGGCAATGAGCTACATAGACCCTGCCCTCTGTGCCTCCTTCGGGAAACACCTAATATGCATATAAATATACAATCACAAACTGTGGGAGTGCTAGCAAGGCAATACGCAGAGTGCCTTTAGATACAACTTGGGGTGGGATGGTCTAACCAGGGTGGTCAGGGAAGGTTTCTTAAAAGAGCTGAGTCTTGAAGAAGGATAAGCCAATCATGCAAAAGGTTGAGAGAAGAGGACTTAAAACATAGAAAACAGCATATACAAAATCCAGTAATGGGAAAGAGCTTTTCCATGACTACGAAATTGAAAGAAAGCTAGAAAATAAGAAAGAAAAAGAGAGAGAGAGAGGAAGAAAAAAGAAAACAAAGAGAGGAGAGATTAGCAAAGTGGTAAAAAGGGTAAAGACTAATAATTGTGATTTCAATTTGCACTGTTCTTTTTTTTCCAATGCATTATTGTAAATTTAAGTTATATTTATAATCAAAGTTATATTAATAATAAAATTAAAATGTTGACAAGCATTTGTAAAGAGAGGAGAAAATGGGACGGGAAGGAAAGGACCAGGTAGGGCTAGGAAAGAGAGGCATTGACCTAGTGGAGGCGTCTCGTGGTTGGACGTGGCTGGTACCGTGACGCCCAGTAGTGGCTGGAGGCAACGGCCATGTGATGACGGCCTGGTGGAGGCTGACCTGAGAGGAAACCAGGGGTGACAAATGACGAGCATGTGTGCCAGGCAGCACACCTATCTCCTGCCATCAATGAGTCAACAACAGGGTGACAGTGGACAGGTTTGGATAAAATCACTGTTTCAGAAACAGAAGTCTTGGCACACGGTGGAGGATGGCTTGAATGGAGAACTTTGCAGAGGGTCTCCTTAGACCAGCATGAGGTCACTGCTCTGATCAATGGCAACTGTCTCACAGAAAATAGTGAAGCTGCAAAGTGGTGTTCACGGGCCAAGTCCAGCTGGTTGATATGTTTTCTTTCATTTATACAATGTTAAAACATTTCTAAATTAGTTAACAGATAACAAAAATTGGGAGATTTTATGCAAACCTCAAATTTCCTGTGGTCTTAAGAAACCTAGAGTCTGGCAACACTGAGTGAACACTCGTGGATGAGGCACCAGCTTGTGAGCTCATCCTGTGGGCCCTGGCCTTCACCCTTGATCCCCAACCCTTGTACAACTGCTGTTCTCTCTTGGCCTCTGTCAGCATGTGAGAATGCATTAGAAAAGCATTTCAGGGAGGAGACAGAAGAACATGGTCACGATGATGGGTGAGGGTCAGGGAAGGGTCTACACTGGCCTACGATTTCTTTTTCTTTTTCCTTTCATTTTTTAATTTATTGACAGAGAGAGT